GAAGCGAGAATCAGAGTCTCTAGTGGACATTTTGTCTGTAGCTCAAAACCACAACTTAATTGGCAGCCTTTTCATAACTCTGACTGTGGCCTAGGACATAGGGGATGCTGCAGGCGAAGGCTGAGGTACGTTTTCAGAATTGGTTGTGGGGAAATGTAGTGTTGACTGCCTGTGTGTCTTAAGTGATCACAGAAATGAGGGAGGTAGTAGTCAAATTCCTCACTTCTATGTTTTTAATTTCTTGGATAGCCTCTGATTATTCTTTCTACATGTTTTTACTCCATAGGTAACACCTTACTGCAAGCATGACTGTGTATGTGTGCTAGCACAGACCATTTATTTTGAGACCCCTTTGCTTTTTGTGGTCTTTTCCGTATGGTTTTGGAATCAATGTGGTTTATACTAAATGTTGACTCCTGTATGTCTTTCCCACATACGTCTTGGCCAACTGGTAGCTTGGATTCTGCCCCTAGAATGATACCAACCCTGTAAGGCTGTGTGGAGTGTGCTTTGTGTATGTCTAGGATGAAAAAACAGCGAGAACAGGAAAATTTACAACATTGTCAAAGAGGATATAAACATAAAATGTGATGTTTGAAAGTGCACCTGACTCTCCACCTGCAGAGGTATTCATAGAGGCAGACAGAGGATGCATGACCTTGGCTGAAGACTTTCAAGAATTTTCTGACTTAAGTGTGTCATTGAGATAGTCTTTACCTGTATTAAAAAGCAGACCCAAAGTCAACTGCATTTCACTTAAACTATATAGTATTTGAGGTATTTTATTAAATAAAAAAACCTAGATTTCTAATCTCATTGTCAGGCTACTTGTATTCACTGTACTATATTAACCTGTATCCATTGGCTGGTGCCTATAAATATCTGTTTGGGTCAGAGGCAGGTAAAAATTGCATGTAGTGTCTGGGAGCAAATGTGGGAAGGGAATTCCTTCCAGACTCACAGGGTTCATAATTTTTAGTGCTTGGAGCCACATGGGTTGATTATGCACGTCATCTTGATTTTTTTCAAAACAGTGGTTGTGTTTGAAATACTATGTTTGACTCGGAAGGTAATATATTTGGTATTTAGGAAGCTGGCAAGAGAAAGCTCTGTCCCCATATGCATGCACAGCAATGGGATTGGGATGTAGGCATGCATAACTGTTATTTTCCCCCGTCTGTCCTATCCCTAGAAAGCCATATGCCACCCTTAGGCTAACGTAATGGGAGTCTGTATTAATGATTATGAGCTAGAAATAATCCAAGAAGAGTTGAGTGGCCTTTGTTTCTAGCTTTATGAGAAATACCTCATTGACTCAGTAGGGTCTGAAATATGTTCTGGGATAGAAAGTCATGATTAATACAGAATTTAATGATGCCCTCACTTGAGGGTTAGTTGTTGTTTTTCTGGTTTTGTTTTTTTTGTGCTAAATTGGTCAGGGACTTGGAGATTCTTAAGTCTAACAGGCAGAGTAGGAATTTAAGCAAGGAGGTGAAAATTTAGAGGGAGTTGTTGATTCACCTGCTATCAGAAATAAGCATCTTGAGCATACATCTCTAGAGAAGCTTTGCTCTGCAAGAGTTCTATAGACATTGAATGCCTTGTGTGTTGGCAGTATACAAAATGAAAACTGTGTGTATGCATGTATAGAAGTGGTGATGGGAAAAGGAGAATGTGGAAATGGGCTGAAGTATTAAAGCAAGCAATGAAAGCAGATGGTTTACTTTGGATTTTATAAAATAGCTTTCTCTTTATTTTGTTTTAAATGAAAGCCATCAACTGTCTGCATTGCAAACCTATTTGTAGCAGAACCATAAGTATTAGGAGTGCAGTTGTCCCTGAATCATAAAAGGGCAAAGGGTTTTTCAGCTTCTTCCCATCTTCATGTTTATAGAATTGTGTATGCTCTGTATACATTAGAGTTGAGCAATTTCATCACAGCCTTTCCTCAAAATTGATTGCTGTTCAGTGTCTCTTCCTGCTCCCTCTCCCTTGTCAGTTGGTTACATCTCAGACTCTCGTTACATTTCATATTGATACTGCTTCACTTTTTCACTAAACTGGATGAGTTTAAGGGTCTGGAGTGGATACTGAAGGTCTAGATACATTCTTTAAATGCTTTAATTCCTATCATTGGGGAAAAGTTTAGGGGTAGATTATTACTTTAAGAAGAAATGACTGTTTGCTCATTCAGTGATGAAGTCTGGTCATCAAGATGTTAGAATATGTGCTGCAGAGCTCTTCAGATACTGACATGAGTGCTAAAGTTGTTGCCAGCAGCTGTCTTGGGTTTTGGGCACCTGCTGCCTCTCATTTCTTGCATCTCCCACTCTATCTTCCACTCCTGAAGTTGGCAGTGCCCCTAAAAATACTCTGAGTTCTTAAGTAGAAGATCTCCACCAAGCTGGTAGTCTGGATTCCTGAGTCACCGGTCCTGCTGCAATGAAATGAGTTATATGACAGAGTTATTGACTATGGAACATCCCCTGCCTGAATAATCAGTGCTCAACTGTGAAATTTTTAGAAGCACAGATGCATTACTTGTGTAGTTCCCATATTCAGCCAGAGTCTTCTCCAGGTGGACTCTGTCATCTTTCCCCCCTGTATGAATACTTAGGGCAAGGGTTGCTGGTTTGGCCTGAGATCCTCTTTCAGTAACCTTTTACCTGTGATACAGTTAAGAGGAATATCATATCTTGATTTGACTTTGACCACAAGTGATCAGGTCCTGTATTTATTCATCTTCCCGTGCTACCCAGTGAGTTACCTGGAAGAGGAAGGAACCTTTTTCAGTGGAAGAATTCAAAAATATTGACCAAGGGTGCTAAAAGATGACTTGTGTCCCTTGTAAAACTCACAAGCTGCCATCTGGGAGCTAGAAGTGAAGCTCAGTTGGTCAGGAAGACAGGAAACCAGATATTGATAATTTCTTAAACAGATTGCTTAAACTTCGAAAATATTAGTGGACAAGCTGTGTCTTTTGTTATCAGTCAGAGCTGATAATTCAGATCTGCAAAGAGAGCTTGGCACATGCTTAGAAGGTAGCAAAACTTAAACCAGGAGCACTCTAGAGTTTTCATTTTGGTATTATTTTATTACTGTATTTTATTTAGCCTGTTTTTCTCTCCAAATGTAGTTATTTTTTTCCCAGCACAGCAATGTGTCCTACTGCATCTACACATTTTAATTTTCTTATTTCCATTCAGTGGAGTGTATCTGTCTATTCTTGGAGTAATAATTTTCCCCCCTCCTGAAAGCTGACAAAATTAAAACCTTTGGCAGTACCTGCAGGAGAGATGCCCTGTGGTTAGTAACACTGTTATATTTCTCTAAAACTCCAATTCTGCTGCTGTGCATTGTATCTTATGGGGCACCCGGTTCCTTCTCCTTGCTCTCTTCTCACCAAGTATCCAGTATCACTTAGTACCTTGGGTTCGTTTTGTCACACAAATGTTTGTCCACCAGGAATGTCAGTTCGTGGCTTGGGCACCCAGGTGTGACAGATGTACATCCACTAAAGAGTTAATGGTGTGCATGACCTACCTACTGAAATAATAACAGGCACCATAAAGAGTGCTATGTTCCTCCTGTCCATCTGCTGAGACTTGGACAGCCTTGCAATAGCTAAAATGTAAAAACAAAACTAAATACATCTGTCCTGACTGTAAAAATCATCAGGAAGAAAAATATTATTCAAATCAGGCTTTTGTCAAGATTGTTCAGTGATTACCAGTGAACACCTGTTGTGTACTGGTTTGTTTGGCCTCGGACTTGATGCTGCTATATCAAACCTGCAGAAAAGGGGGAATTGGCTTCCCCCAGCTGAACTGTAGGTGTTGAGTTCCAGCCCTCTGAGCTGCTGCAAAGGCTGAGGATGGATGATACCCATAGCTGATGACACATCACCCCTCAGTTTCCTGAGGTAGTTACTCTGTGCCATTACAATGATGGCAGATCCCATAAACATATTACCCTCCACCATCTGCTCCCTCTGGCACTGAACTATGACCAAGAGGAAAGTTCCTCGTGCCCTGTCAACTCCCCTCAAATAAATAATCATAATGAAAAAGGCCAACCTTTCTGAAGTTCCTGCTCAGCAAATGGGCTCTGATTGAAGGCAGTCCTGAGAGACAGGGAAGGCTTGCAGCCCTTGACAGCAAATGAGAGCTGTACCTGCCTCATAAATGCCTTGGCTTCAGAAGGAGGTGGTTATGGGCATGAAATGTTTATCATCTTGTGCTTGCTTTGCTGCTGCTGGGTTACTGTGAAAGTAAAAAGTAGTAATAATTGAAGAAGAGGCAATACTGCAGCCTGCTTTTTCTGCTTGTTTCTACACTTAAGTAGTTTTGTGGACAAAGAAGGAGCAGGTGGAGGCAGCTTGGATTTGACAGAGGTTTGGACTGTGCACTAAAGATGTGTTCAGTTGCCTATGAAAGGGGATTTGATTGGAAATCTGATCAGGCAACTGGCTTTCCGTTAGGAAGCAGTCTTTGAAATTGTCCATGGAAGAAGATGACTTGCTATGTAGGTCAGCTTGTGCATTTAAAAATGCACTTGCAAAAGGATGCTTGGTTTTTGCACATAATTGGAAGCAGCACAGTTGGTGACAACCTCCTTTTGAGTCTGCTGAGCATTGCCATGTTACATGTTGTAGATATCGACATCTCTGTCTTTGTGCAGCACCTTGTAGGGCTCCTTGGAACTGGCTATTTTCCAACTGCCTTTCCTTAGCTCCCACCCTACATGGGGATCCTGCAGTGGGTTGTGGGGACTTTGCAGTGGTCTTGGGGGTGCATGTGCTTTTGTTTTGTTCTAACAGCACAGTTCCCAACAGGGGACAGCACTGCATTGTATAAGATGCTTGTCATTTTTAAGGGACTTTTCTAAGCTTGTCATCCTAAAAGCTATATTGCACAGCAGCAGGCGGCCTCCATAAATCACTGATTTCTCTCTTTCTTCTCTTTCCCTTCCTTTCTCTTTTGCACTCTCTTTATTCCAAGCCTGCGGATTTGGACGCCTGGGTAAGCTCTCTTTTTTTTTTTTGTCTGGATCTTGCTTATTCCAAGTGTCATGTTGTTACTGCGCGCGTACAGATTGTTATTGCTGAGCACAGATGCAGGATTTTATTTTCTGTCATTACATTTTAAAAGGTGTTCAGCTAGAAAATTGCATATTATTTCCTCCATAAAGATTTTCACTGGCTCCTTTTGTGTAGCTTACAGCTGCTGAAACCAAACTTGATCTGGTGATGTGTGGTGTTGGCTAAGGGAGCAGCAGAAACAGGAGGAAATGAGGGTTACACCAGTACTGCTTTTTAAGGCACTGGGTTGTGTCTGGTTTCTGAAACAAAACCCAGTCACCTGCCTTCAACAGAATGAGAGGTAGGACAAAAAGCCAGTGGTTTTGTAGGCCTCGTGTGTCTGGAGTAACAACTGCAGACAGCTCTGCAGTAATGGTGATATTTCTGCTGGTGCCGGTGGAGGTTGAGTCAAGGCTCCTCTATGGTTACTTGCCTGCTACAAGCCTCACTGTGAAGTTCTGCTTTAGTCTCAGACACAAAGTGCACAAACTGCCTCTTACTATTTCAGTGTTGCCCTTTCAGCTCTGCCATTCCCTTTAGACTTGGTCAGGAACATGCCAGCTAGCTAATTTTGGAGTTAGCTCTGTTCTTCAGTGAATTGCTATAAATTCCTTATTCACATCTTGAGATCTCTAATAGCATTTGTGTTTTTCCCTGCCACCTGGGCTGCTACCAGGACTGGAAGAGACCTGGGAAAGGTATGAGGCATTAGAAGCTGCAGCTGTGAAGTGGGGCAAGGTGAGGTGCCCAGGCAAAACATCTCTGCAGTGCTGCTGCAGGGATGTTACTGGGTATCTTTGGGGGAAGCTAACTCCTCTCAGCAAAGACGGGATGATGTAGAAGCTAGGCATTGGATAGATTTAAGGACCTTTCCTTTATCCTTGTAGCTTATTTCTCTGCTTCTGACTGATTATCTAGGCATCTTCTCACTAGCTCGTCTGTGAGTGGTGGAAGCATTTTACCAAGAAGATAAATATTTTTGCAGTAATCTCGCCAAATTCTGTGACTTGCCTTTGAGGAAGTTCTTTATAGGTTGAGGTTTGGATCTTTCCTTCTAGCTTGAGTTGCCCTTTGCAGAGAGAGGGTTGGGGGGGGCTTTTGTCCTTCAGTAGAGTCTTCTCCATGCCCTCTCCCCAAATCCCAGAATCCCAACAATGTTGTGGAGAGAGACAGCCTGATGGTAGCAGTCAGCTGTGGGCTGTGCTATTGCTGCACTTTATTCCTGGGTGCCACATTACCTACTGTCATCTGACCCTGCCAAGAAGCCCTTTTTTTCCAACAGATTTCCTTCCTAGTTTTTGTGTTTAACAAGGTGATGAGGACTGTGATTAAAAATAATAAAAATCTGGTGATATTTTGTGGAGGGCAAAGCCAAAGCTAATCTGGGAGTGGCTGTAGCTAGAGTGAAGCTTAGCTCTAGAAGATCAGTTGCACAGTCTGATTTGTGGTGTGGTGGTGTCAGTTCAGGACAAGGCTAAGAGTGTCTGGCTTTGTTCGTAGAGAATGAACCAATATTATTTCATTACCTCAATTAGGAGGCTTGTAAAATATTTCTTTTGGCCTGTTTGTCAGCGAGCAGGCCAGTGCTTGAATTCTTCAGTTGAGCCAGTATGTAATGCATAGCTTTAGAAATGTGCTTGCACAGTTTATTTCTAAATGAGTTACTTGATAAAGGGAGAGAAGGAGGCAGAGAATTGCATGTGATTCTGCCCTGGCTCTTTGTCTCTGTTCAGAGCAGCACTGAGATATAACCTGCATAACTTTGAGCTGTGGAAAAACTGTAAAGATAAAACAGAGGAAGAACCTGAAAGAGCCCCCAACCAGTCCATGGATCCATGCCCATGGAAGTTGTAGTAGCATGTTAGTAGTATGCCTTCCCTGTCCTTTTGTAAGAATGCTTTGTAAGAGTTCTTGTAACTCTGACACCAACACAGAGGATTTTTGAGCATTTCTTGAATATATCTTATACCTTGCTTTTGTACAGAGAACAATGGGCAATTGCAAATACATCCCAGGGTGCTTTTCTAAGTTTTGGGTGCATTCCTGTGTTTTATAGCTGAGTACATTCTTCTTTCCCTTCTCTCTGTTTTGTTTCTGTGTTCATGCTTCTTGGTCATCACACTCTGCTGTGTTCTACACACTTCAGATTTTGTCTCTGGGCTTTGGTCAGCTCTTGCAAAATATGTTCAAGCTCCAATGGAGTTTCTGCAGTGTGGAAGTTGAAATGCAGCTTTCTGATATCTCCTTTTCAAACCAGTGTGTTATCATGCTTGTCTTCCCTTCCCCTTCCTTCTTTAGTTCTAAAGGCCTTTTTGTGAAAAGTGTATCTGATGCTTTGTTTGGCACCTGCAATCTCAATCCTCTGTGGAATTGTAATCATCTCCATAGCAGCCAGTTCTGTCTGGGACATCACAGGCTTCTGACTGCAGGTAGGGAATAAGCTGCAGGACTAGGGGAACTCTTAATAAATATCCTATATTCATTCAAAATGTCCCTGGTTACCTAACCCAGTTTGGAACAGTGAATATTTCAAATGACACATGCTCTGACTATACCGTTCATACTTCAAACGCCATCATAAAGTGTACTGAAGTTTCTAGTAATAACAGCTGGGGCTAGAGGGAAACAAAAAGCAACTTTGAAGCAGATCTGTCATAAATGGAATATTGCTCAATATACTTCAATGCACTGAAACATCAGCAGCTCTTGAAAACAAGCAAGGCATTGAAAATATGTTTGTGTTGCAAGTACAAGTTTTCTCTGCAACCTCTGGTTCATCACACATTACAGGCGAAAAGTGGAACATAATGGGGGATAATATGGGAGAAATTACTTTGGGGGAAGAATGGGCAGAATTCTAACAGTGTAGTCTGCAGCTGGGAGATCCGGATTTGGTTCTTTGACATCGATTTTGCAAGACCCAAGGGAAGTGACCAACAGAATGTCTGTCTGCTGCAGCGTGTGTTGGTGTGGAGAAATTATTCACTGTGGGCATCCCAGCTCCAGTGAGGTTTGCTTGAGAGTCCATGGGTCATCATCATGTAGATCAGCACCCTACTCAAGAGATTAGGTATTTGGTTGGTGTTCCCTTTCAGAGGTGTCATATGGATAAATGTCCTGAATTTCTTGTTGAACAAGGTTGGGCAAGCTCACGGGTTGAAAACATGAGTGAGCATGTGGGTACACGATCCATGTTTTGCCAGAAACAGAATGAAGGTTCTTGCCTGCCTGTATTGTTACAATATCAGTTTTGAGCTTGCAGAATAGTCTGCTATCCCAAGGTGACTAGCACTACCACATAATGAAGTTATTTAGATTAAAAAGAAGCTTTCTTGAGTTTTTAAGAATTCATTTGACTCTTTTTCTTTCTTCCTTCCTTCACATGAAAAGCACGTTCTATCTGAATCATGCAGAGGGGTCAGTACTGTCTTATTCTTTTTTCTTTTCCTTATTTATTTTCTCCTTAAGGAAATAGAAGTCACTGGCTTAGTAATTTGATTTTATAGGTGTTATGCAGAAAATCCACAGGAGAATCGGGGTCTTTTGGTCACCCACCAGACCACCCCACCTTCTTACATCTGTTTCATTTTATTTGAATTTGCTTAGTCCTTTTCTGTGGAGAAGATGGGTATTGGTTGAGAGGGACAGCTATGGTTCCCTTACCAGAAAATGGTTGTAATTTTGGCACTTACAAACTACCCATCACTGCCCCTATTGTTGTGATATCTCTTCTGTCAGGCTACGTGTATGGGGCACCTCATTCTTATCTCTCTCCCAATCCAATTCCAGCTGGTTTGCTGGTGAGAAGTTATGTAGCAGCTGTGGTTAAAGCAAAGCTGGAGATTTGCTTTGAGTGTCTTTGAGATCAAGAGGAAATAGATATGAATCTGTACTGCTTGTGTGTTACCCTGATCTGGGATGGCAAACATGGAACCCAAAATATTTATTTTTCCTTAAAAACAAATAAAGAAACATACACCACCACCACACTACTATAATCCTCCTATTTCACGTACTCCTTTTCTTGCTTACCTATCAACCACCCTCACTGCCTAGATTAAAATCTCTTCTAAACCCTATTATACCACTGTATTTCCATCAGCAGGGGAGCAGAAAGAAGCACATGCACAGTAACTTGCTTTCAGATGTAATTTTTCTCATTAGCAATGGCTTTTGGCCATAAAATGACAGGTCTGAGCCCACAGGGATGTTTCTGTCCCAGCTGCTTAATCATATTGGACCAGCATTTTCTGTGGTTGTAGCATCATCATTAGAAGTTAATAGCAATGCTGCTGGGATGTTATGGATTGGCAGGGTTTGTGTCCATGTTAAACAGGCTATTCATTCTGTTTTTGAAAGGTCTTCTGCCTGCTGATGACTTATGTGGCCCCAGAGATTTTGGGGTGTGATGGGCAGTGAAGAACAAGTGCCATTCGTCTTGCTATTGCTGCTTGTTATTTTTAAACTTTAAAAGTTTGATTCATTCCGTCAATGCCATATTTCCTTAATGTTAGTTCAGTTTTGGGGTGGGAATGCAATGAAGTGGTGCTGGCTGTAAAAAGCCAGTGGGCTACAGTTGTTGCTGTACCCACACAGACTTTTTTAATTGAGTGCTGTTTAGTTGGTGAGCAGGTTATTCTGCAGCAAGAGCTTATGAACCAGGTTTGCTGTTTTGGAACTGTCACACTTGTACTTTGGAAGATGGAAGAGAAATTCTCTGACACCCATCTCCTCTCCGAGTCTGCAGCACCCAGCCAGAGGAACTCTGAGGGTGCTGATGGGGAATGCACAGAGGATGTGTGGAGGGAGTACTTAATGACCAGGGTAGTCCTATGTGTATCTGCTGTGGGGAAGATTTAAATCTATAGAAGCTTCCTGACCCTCCACGAGGCTAGAGTTTATCAAGTGGAGGATTTGAGTTTATTTTTTTAAGGTAAGGTGAACATTGGAGTAATGACTGTCATGACTCATGGAAAAACAAAGACATGGCTAAGATGGAGTTCTGAAAAAAACAGTAGGAAGATGTCACCTTGTTGTGATCATATGTTTCCAATTAATAAGAAGCAGTAAAATCAAGGTTATGAGTTTGAGTGTGATACTAATAAGAGCATTTCAAACTTCTGGGGATAACCCAGAATGAGCTTTCCTTGCACTTAGATTGTTTGTTTTTAATTTCTTCTTCTACTGAAGCTGTTTTGTTGTTCTTGCCAGGCTGTGGAGCTGCAAGGCAGGGAGGCAGAGTTGAAGCGACAAGAGGCCTTCTATAAGGAGCAGTTGGCCCGCATTGAGAGGAAGGTAAGGTTAAATTGTCTTTATTTGTGCCCTCTGCACACTGATGGGGTCGGACATGGAGCTGTGTGGATCCAAAGAGCAGAGAACCAAGAAGGGTTGTGCTGAAACCTGGAACTCTCAGCTCCCAGGGTCTTATCTGCCCCCCACCCCTTATGTATGTGATGGAAAAGCTGTATGAATCTTTTGAGCAGCTTGCATTTGAAAGATAAAGGGTTTTTTAACTCGATGATGTTTTTAAAAAAGATTTCTAGTAGTTCAGACTCTATTTTCTTTTTCACCATGGGGTTTAGGTGAAAGCTAAATTGAAGCAAAACAAGTGCCTTGTTTTTTATTCCTTTTGTTTAAAATCCTTTCCTAAATTAAAAAAAACCAAACAACATAACACCACAACATAAATCTTGCTATAAATACGAATTAAAGTTGTAATATTAATTTTTCTCTGGGGAGCCCCACAGTTCAAAGAATGGTGCTGCAGTGCACTGCCTGCTTCTTGCTGGATAAGCCTTTGAAATGAACGTGATTTAAAGAGACACTGTCAAGCATCTTTTAAGCCTGAAATGACCTTTGAAAATCCATTTAGGGATTTGAATCTCTCCCCTGAACGTGGTATTTGCTTCTCTGTTTAATTGTTTACCATGATGAGTTTTTAAAAATTGATGCCATAAAAATAGGAGCAGCCATGCTGTTCCTTATGAACTAATGTGTTCTTCACTTCCTGGCAAAATGAAATAATGTTATAAGTAGTCTTTATTTTTTAATAAATGTGGAGAATAATCTTCTCCAATTTGAAGCAATTAGACCTCCTGACAGGGAGTTGCATACATTCGACTTGTAGTTGTGTTATGTGACTAAAAAGAAATGCAAACAATTCTGAAAAAGGGGGTTTGTGAAAAGATAGAGAAATCAATCAGCTTTTCTACCAACATGTAGCATGATGGTGAGTATGGAACATGGGAAAATTGCAGACTGTAGAGATGGTAGGAAACTGTTGGCATATCTATTCCTGTTCTCATTCCCTGTTACTGCATGATTGTCCATGCAGCACTTTTTTTAAGCCATCAATGGTAAAACATGCCCAGGAGCAATTTCATATGATACAGTTTAGCAACACTTTTAATCCATACAGTTCATTAAAAATAAACTATTAAAACTACCACTCAGTGTTGCATTCGGATTTTAAATTCTATTTCTAGATAATGGGGATTGTTCAGTGAAATTGCAAACAATCTAGCAGCTATCGTTCTAATTATCACAGTTGTCCATATGTTCATACGCAAAGGGGATTTTTGCAATTTCTTGGTCCCATGCTGTGTGCTTCTATTATATTCTCCTCTCCGGATCTGGTTTCATGAAGCGGAAATTGCAGGGAAAACCTGTTGTGTGTGTGTGTGTCTGTCCTTTATGGACAGTGGAGTGGGGAGAAGTTTGTGTCTGGGCTTCATTGTCCCCTTTTCAAAATCTTTTGTTGTTGTTTGTGTTTCCAAGTCCACGTCCCTTGCTACAGGGACACGCTTTTGAACAATGAAAGGGATATTCTAGTGCAGGATCTTCTCGGGGGGAGTAAGATGGCTTGCCCGCAGTCCTATTCAAACTGCAGAGCTGCAGAGAAACTATCTTCTAGTTGTTATGTGTACAAAAGCAAGCAGATGAAAAGAACAGGTTTTCTTTCCTCTCTTGAAACATTAGATAGTTTCTGACCCTTAAACACTAGTGTTTTGCTGGTAATGAAACAGAAGAATGCCTCCAACCGTTAGTCTGGATGGGAGTGGGAGGTGGTGGGGGCTAGAAGGGAGAGGAGAGAAATGTACTTGAAACAGTGTAATAAAGCTTAATTGTATTAGTTTTGAAAAAGGTTTTTGATCTTCTCTGTGGATAATTTTATTCCTATAATGGCTAGAAAGATGGAAAATGCAGTGCAGAACAATCTTTTTTATTAGCTGTTGCTTTTATATAATTCTGCTTTTATTTGTTGAATACACGCAGACCTTGACATTTATTTATTTATTTTTCCTTCCACTGTGCTAAAGCTTTCCAGCTCAGGATTAGATATATTTTTATATATCTGTGTATGTGTGTGTCTATATTAGAAAAAAGCTATCAATAAGGGGATGAGGTGGGGAAGAGCTCTGAAATAGAAGTTTGCTTTCTCTGCTGTTTTAAGAGGGGATGGTCCCTTGGACTGTGGTCAGTGGTAGTTTGGAGGTACTGGCTGTGGGTCAATGGATGTGATGGCTCAGTGTGGAGTTAGCAAGCTGAAATTTCTCCTTCTGAGGATCAGGCTGTCAGGAATTCCCCTCTCTCATCTCCTGCTGTGTCCATGTTGGCTTTGTCCCCACTTCTGCATGATAACAAAATTCAGCAGTGAGAGACTCAAGAGATTTGTTTTTGAAGAATGTTTTGAACTATTGATGGTAAAAACCAAGTACCTTCCCAGTAGGATTCTAAGAGCAATTGTGTTACATACTCCTTACAACATAAGAGCTGCTGCAGTGAATCAAACACGGAGACTGTCCTGTTTCTTCTGACAGTGGTCAGTTTGCAAAGGCTTTGAAGGAAGAAGCAAAAAAAACCCTCACCAAAATAAAACCACAAAGAAAACTTTTGGGAGAGTAGCTTTGACAACAGTCTTCCTAACTGTTGTCAGTTGGAGGCTGACACATGCCCTGCTCAAGAGTTTTATTTTCATTCAGTATTTTTATTCTCTGGAACTTGGATTAGTGCCATCCATTCTTCTGTGCGACTCAGGCATTGTTCCTGAAGCCCTGTTCAGCTCTGTGCCTCCAACATCATGTGGCAGTGTGGGCCACAGGTTAACTTATGTACTTCATAAAATCTCTGTTACCAGTTGCAAATACTTTTTTTCTCATTTAATATCCTTTATTTGAAAGAGATAAAAGGAATTCTCCTAATTATTCACTATCTGTAGACTTCTCTTCCCTCTTTTACCTTCCCGTTAGGCTGAGCAGTCCTTACCTTTTCAGCCTCTGCTCCTGTGAATGATTTTTTTCTAGGTTTCTCATTCTGCTTGTTGTCTTTTGACACTTTCACCCTTGCAGCTCTGTCTTTGAGATGTATCGACCAGAACTGAACTCAGTAGTTCCCTTGAATGCAGCAGATTGTGTGAATACATTATCCTTTTATTTTGTAATCTCTGAAAGAGTACTGTAATCTACTGGACAGAGCACAGAATTGGAAGGAAAAACCTGCTCATTTTCTAATAGCCATTTCTCTTTTGGGAGTTTGAAACAATTATTTAGTCCATCTATCTCAGTTATTCCATCTATATGATGGAATAGCTTGTAATGGGAGGGCAAAGTGTTGTGAAACAGTAAAGCTATAAAAATGCTAAAAAGGCTTTGCCTTTAGTTTTGCATGAGATGAACTATGGGTCTAACTTATTTCAAATAGATCTTGAGAAACTCAGTTTCTCCAGACAGTCTTATTAAAATTTTCAGAGGAAAAGGCATGTATGAAAAAATAATTTCAGTGTTTCAGCTTTTGGGATTTTCCCTACATCCTCTACTAAAACACTGGAAAAAGTGAGACAGTGAGTGCTGTCATGCTAAAAATCCATTGAGTTCAATATGCTGGTCCTGACTGTGCCCAAATGTGAATGTCCAAGGACAACTGTAAGATCACTGGATTGCCCAGAGAGGGTGTGGAGTCTCCCTAACTGGAGATATTCCAGAGTAGTCTGGATGCAATCCTGTGCCGTATGCTCTGGGATGACTCTACTTGAGCAGGGAGGTGGGACCAGATGACCTACTGTGGTCCTTTCCAACCTGATTCTTCCTGTGATTCTGTGATCAGGGCAAGGTTATGGGGTACTTGCCCCACATACTTTGATCATCCTGGCTGGTCATCTTTGGAACTTTTCCACACCTATTTAATCCTCTGAGAGCTGGGAACCAGGACTGTGTGCACAGTGCTCGGGGTGCAGGTGGTCCGTGAGCGTATATGGCAGTTGTGTCAGAAACATTGTTTGGTTCTCTGTTTCTTTGTAGTGCCTGACACTTGATTTGCACTTCTGACTTGTGTTGAACAAATGCCATGCACTGCTACTACTGGCAGCATTCAGCTGTTTTGAGTACAGACTTGAATGCATGAAATAGCTGTACTGGGATGAAACCAATGCTGGGATTAGCTGTTGGGAGAATTCTTCCCACTGCACCCTTCAGTTTGTTGGGGATTGTGTGGAGGAAGGAATGGTAGGTTTTGTTCTGCCTGCAGTGCAGTGCATGCTTTTTGACTTGTTTAAAAATCAAATTTTATTGAACAAATTCCTTGCAGAGGATCATTACACTGGTAATGCCCCCGGTCTTCCTCTCTTTAACTCTGATAGCTTGTTGTAGTTGTGTGTTTCAGTCCCTTGGGTGGCCTGTGTGTTTCTGTTTTGGAGTGCCTGAAATATTTTGGTAATCAGAAAAATTAGAGGGAATAGCTCCTTTGAACTGCCTGCTTCTTATGTGACTGTGTGTAATTGCAGGGTTTGGAGCTGGTGATACACATTCCATCCCACACCTGTGTTTCCAATGTGACTGTCTAATCTCCAATAAGTAATCCAGTAATGAGACCCGGGTAATTTGTTGTAAGCAGTTAAACTTCTAACTCTGGCTTCTTACAGTAATTTTACATCTCATCCATGTAATTTGAATTGTTTCACAAAATGTGGGTCTTCTCTCAACTGCTTTCAAGGAAGATTTGTACTGTAGTGTTTGTCTGGGTAGAAAGGATAAGAGTTAGACCTAATAATCTGTAAGGAAAACCTTAGAAACACTCGATTTGAGAAGATTAAGCTGATGTTCTTTCATGCATTTATTTGTTACTGAGAAGCAGGGAGGGAGATGGAGGGAGCTTGTAAATAGTTAATACATGTACTGCTCAGAACTGGGATTTTTATTAAGGATTCTGTGTATGTTTTGTCCTGCTTTTTCCAAGTGGTAGAAACATCCTTTGAAAAGTATGATAAGACAGAAATGCACTCTCTCCTGGAACCCTTCAGA